CCCCTCGAAAGGACAAGCAGACCAGCCTGGAGCAGCGAGAAGAACAGAAGATATTTTTTGAAAGAAAGACTGACAGGTAACAGTAACAGCAGTTCCACTGACTACTACAAAAACAAGCAAGTTGTTTGACCAGGAGACATCAAGGCAAGTGGTTGAATCCCCTCAAGGCAAGCCCCTTCAAAGACTAAGACTTAAGGGGAACACACGAGCAGACATGCACTCTGACTAGTGACCATGTTGGTCACCACTGATAAGGAGTGCAGTCAAGGAGCGGAGGTCCCTGGGACCCTCAAGGGAGAAGAGTGGAGTGCGGGACCCGACCCAGAGAAACAGTGACTCCAGAGATGGAGGCAGAGACGATGACGTGGAGAGATGGAGCAACTGGGGATTCTAGACTCAGAGAGAGAGAGGGACTGTGTGCTAATGACCGGGAGGGTGAGACAGGCTTGTAGTGTACACCCTTTGGTTGGTTGATGATGCATGGATGGGACTGTAACCGTGGCAATGAAATGATATACGATAGGATTAATGTAAAGCTAATGTTCTCCCATGTAAACTATCACATATTTCACATTAAAAAAAAAACAATAAAAAAATGTTTTCTGAAACAATCTATGATGATTGCAGGGAGGGGGAGGGAAAATTACGTGTAGACGGTTGACACATGCTAACTTGGGTGACAGGGCAGGCAATATACAACAAGAGGGAGGCTAGTAGAGAAAAGATAAAGGTTGTTGTTGTTGTTAACTGCCGTGGAGTCGGTTCTGACTCATAGTTACCCGGTACAGGGTTTCCGAGGCTGTAGAACTTTACGTTACAGAAGCAGAAAGCCTCATCTTTCTCCTGTGGAACAGATGGTAGTTTCAAACTTCTGACCATGAGATTAGTAGCCCGATTCGTAACCACTACATGTAGTAGTACACAAAGGCAGGGATGTACTAGTTAAAGTGAACAGAGGTAAATATTGTCAACTGTTGGTACATGGAGGGGATTACAGTCATGTAGTGAAACAAAGTGTTTTTATTGTTAAGTGCCATTGTGTTGGTTCTGACTCACAGCGACCCTATACAGGGTTACTAAGGAGTGGCTGATGGAACTGCCGACCTTGCAGTTCAAACTGACCATATAGTCTAGCGCCTTAATCTCCATCGCCACACCTTAAGTATATGATTTGTTAAATGTAAAAGTTATGAAGTGCTCTGTAAACTTTCACTCAATTCACAATAAAAAGCTTAAATAAATAAAGTAGTAAAAACAAAACAACTTGAGTATAGACTAACTGGGTAAAGGTAGGACAATATGCAATAAGGGTGAGGGTCAGCAAAAAATGACGAAAGGAAAGGCAGACAAGGAAAGGCAACATCATCCTTCAGTAACAGCAGTTAAACCATCTGTGAGAATACAGAGACAGACTGAAAAACTGAAGAGGTGTAAGGCGGAAAATGGGACTGTCGTTGCGGCTGTGTGCAGTAAACTTGGTTCCAACTCATGGCAACCTGTATAGGGTTTCTGAGGCATAACTATTTACTAGAGCAGAAGGCCTCACCTTTCTCCTGTGGTGTAGTTGGTGGATTTGAACTGCCGAACTTGCGGTTAATAACTCAACAAGTAACCTACTACACTATCAAGGCTCCTTAGAATGGGACTATACCAATGTATACATATTGGTTTGAAAAAAAAAAAGGGCATTTACACACATGCATTTATCTATGCTACAAATATATCCATGAACATAGTAGAACATGTTGTTGTTGTTAAGTGCCATTGAGTCAGTTCCGACCCATAGCGAGCCTGTATAGGGTTTCTGAAGAACAGCTGGTGGGCTTGAACTGCCGATCTTTCTGTTCAAACAGACTTTGCAGTCTAGCGCATTAACCCACAGAGCCACACCAGGACTCCATAGTAGAGCAGAGGGGGCCAAATTATGAAAATTTCTTAGCCACAACCAAACAGTTCTATAAGGGAATAAGTTACTGGGTTGGGGGCTCAGTCTTAGGGGATGCCAAGGGCAACTGGTAAAACATACACCAAAAAGGCAATCTTTAGGGCACTTTTTATTGTGAATTGAGTGATAGTTTACATGGGAAAACATTAGCTTTACATTCATGCTATCGTGTTTCTTTCATTGCCATGGTTATAATCCCCTCCAAAGCATCATCAACCCTGCAAGCCTGCCCCCCAGCTGTCAGCACATAGCCTCTCTCCCTGAGTCCAGAGTCCCCAGCTGCTACATTTCTCTATGTCATTGTCTCTGCCTCCATCTCTGATGTCAATGCTTCTCTGGATAAGGTCCCGCACTCCACTCTTCTCCCTTGATGGTCCCGGGACCTCCACTCCTTGACTGGGAGATCAACCACTCCACTCCTTTTGTTACAAAACGTCAACCTTTACATTTGCAACTCTGCTGATACTATTGAATCACAAGTCTTATCCCCATCTCCTTTTACCAGCCCCGTCCAGAAAGATTGGAGATTCTACCTTCTCCCGCACCCTCTGAAACTAGGCTCCCTCTTGAAAGCTTGTAAGCCAGTGACGTCTTGCTTTTGTAGCGCCACCCCCCCCCCCCCATTTTGGGTAGCCAGTGTCCAAGTTACCCATCCCTGTCTACCCTGTGTATTGAGGGGGTGCGAATGATCCTCGCTGTAAAGATTCGTTCCCTCTTTTGAGCTACTACAACCATAAGTATAGGTCAAGGTCCTCAAATTGTAGTGGATTAACCATTCTTTTCCTCTTCTTTCTTCCTTTACTCGAGTTCTGATGATTCAGCCGTTGAAGCCAGGTCAAGTGGGTACTATCTGCAAGTATGGGTGTTCTTGTACATCTCCCCTCACTTCACATCAGCTGGATGCTTCACTCTCCGCTCCAGTCCTCTGTGGCCATGTCCCTGTCCCTGGGTCCAGGAGTCCCCAGGTCTTGCCATACTGCTGGCCAACCAGTTCGCAACACAGGTTAACAGGAGTCTATTGATTGTGGTTGAACTTAGCTCACAACTTCATTGCTGTTTTTCCCTCACTTCCTCTTATTAGTAGACCAATGTGATCACCAGTCAGACCACGTGCCTGCTCGTCTAGTCCCCTTGAGTGTCAGTCTTGGAAGGGGGCTTACCCTGAGGGGACCCAATCACTTGTCTTGATGGCTCCCAGGGGAACAACTTGCTTGTTTTTGTAGTAATCAATCAGACTGCCATTATTGTTTGTGATTTGTCCTGCTGGTCTTTCTTCAAGAAGTATCTTTGGTTCCTCTAGCCGCTCCAGGCTGGTCTGCTTGTCCTTTCAAGTGGAAACTTCCCACCTCAGTAGAGTCTGGATAGAGTTTAGGATTCCACCTACGGTCTTATGCAATGCAGGAAGCCTCCTTCACTGGGCAAGTTCTAGCCCCATTTTAGGTATTCCAACCAGTTATTTAGGTATTCCAACCAGAAGACAGGGTTACAAGCTTTCTACTGTGATGTTTTCTGGCTATTCCTTTCTCTCCCCCTCAAGTTTCCATTTTACAATGGTAGGCAATGGAAACCAAGATTCAAAAGACAGCCAAGAGTCTTAACATTATTTGCCCTCGTTTACCCATTCAAACCATGTCCCAATAGGCTCTGTATCCCAGAGCTCTGTTGTTCCAAGGTTGAGCACACATCATTATTTACCTCTGTCTGCCCCCGCCAGCACCCAAACTATCTTGTGTCTATTCCCTACCCTGTGCTCTATCTTCCCCTCCCTCCCCGCTCACCTCGCCTGGTACACCCTGGTAACCAGCAAAGAATTGTTTTTCCCCCTTTTTGTGTTGGTATTGTTTCTTTTTTTAAGCTTTTACAATTATGGTCCTATGAAGTATTTCTCTTTTTGTGACTGACTAAATTTATTCAGCATAATGTCATAATGCGTTAGCTTGCAGCTTCCTTGTTATTCTTCAAGGTAGCATAATATTCCATTGTGTGTATGCACCACAGTTTGTTTATCTGCTCTTAGGTCGATGGGCACTTAGGCTGTCTCCATCTTTTTGCTACTATAAATAGTGCTGCTATGAGCATTGGTGTGCATACATCTACTCGTGTTATGGCTTGTCAATATTTCTTGTGGATAAACACCAAGTGGAGGAATTGTGGGATCATAAGATATTTCAATTTCCAACCTTCTGAAGAAGCACCATAATGTTTTCCAGAGCAGTTGGACCATTTTGAAATCCCACCAGCAATGTAGGAGCATCCCAGTCTCTCCACATCCTTGCCAGCATTTATTGTCCTCTATTTTTTTGATATCATTGCAGATGTCTGATGGATCTTGGCTGAAAGCAGAGAATATCAGAAGGATGTTTACCTATGCTTTATTGACTATGCGAAGGCTTTCGATTGTGTGGATCATGACAAGCTATGGACAACATTGAGAAGTATGAGTATTCTAGAACACTTAATTGTACTT